CAAGATTAGCATCTTGGTTACTGTTAGTTTTTCTTCATAACCCGACGAGTAGTGTTAATATATAGTAGTTAGAATATAACTGTACGTCGATGTTTTCTGATGCACCAGAAAACATTGCATGGTGGAAAGTACATGTTTGTGGGGCATATTAAGTCATGAGAGACGGTGAGCTTTCTTTCCCCAGGTGCAGTATGGCTCTTATGGGTTTAGCGCTCCCCATGAATATAATGATAATTGGGATCTAGTGAGCGTCTTGCGTGTGTCAATGAATAAAATAACCAACCATGCTTCAGTGGATACTTGTGCAAGAATAGATTTAGCCTGTTTCATGTGGATGGTATCTATCGCAAGAGTAAGTTGGCCTTGTCAAGGGAAATCTGCTTGAATAATTTAATATGCTTTAAGAAATAGTACCTGTTATAGGGACAGATTGACCTTCCTTCACTTAATAGATCTTATTGCAAGAGTAAGTTAGGTACGCTTAAAGGAATACAGTTGAGGTTGTGTTTTAGGGTGCCGCAGAGAGTCATGACTTACACCTATACTGCACACACCCACCTCCACTTTAATGGCGGGCCTTACTGCATTTTTTGTTCTCTGCGATTTATATAACATGATTACTCCAATTTAGAAACTTTTGCATCAACTACTGGCTGTTAGTTTTCATGTTTCTACTTTTGCAATTAAACTGTCATTTAAAAATTGTATATATTCTGGCTTGGGTTTTTGTTAAATAAATAAAAACTCGTTAAACTGGGTTGAAAGGACATTTATTTGCGCTTCAGTTTTTCATTCATATTCACGAGAGAAATAATGCCAGTGGTGACACCCTTCAAATCGCCAGGGCATTTAAATTACTGGGAACCCCTTAAAGTCCTGAACATGCACTCACTCGAGCGGAGGAGAGAGAGATATGATATATACCTGCGAGCTACTCGAGAGCATGGTCCCATAACATACTGGAGTGAGAGACATGGGAGGAAGTGCAGAATAAATCCAGTGGAGAGTAGGGGTGTGGTGGGTACAATATTAACATTTGTGGCCCCAGATTATTCAACATCTTACCAGAAGATATCAAAAACACTGCTTGAACAAGTGTTTAATTCTTCAAGAAAAAAATGGACAAGTATCTTCACCAGGTGCCAGATCAACCAGGCAGTGGCGGATGTGTGTGGCAGCGGGCCTCCAGCAGCAACAGCCTGGTTGACCAGGCTAGCACCAGACGAACCGGGCTCCTAGAGTATTAAGACTCTCGAAACTCATCAAAGGTATATCAAAGATGCGACTTGTATTGGTTTGCTCTTGTTTCAATTTTCAATATAACGGATAATACTGTAATTGGATTGTTAGATTCGAAGCCTGTCAAGTGCACGAGGGTTATTAAGGCTGCAAATTAAACCATACCACGGGCGGGGATAGAACCCACGATCACAGAGTAATAAAACTCCAGACGGACGCGCTAGCCACTGGGAGGCCAGCTGGCTACAACAGCCACTGGGAGGCCAGCTGGCTACAACAGCCACTGGGAGGCCAGCTGGCTACAACAGCCACTGGGAGGCCAGCTGGCTACAACAGCCACTGGGAGGCCAGCTGGCTACAACAGCCACTGGGAGGCCAGCTGGCTACAACAGCCACTGGCCCAGTGGCTAGCGCGTCGGTCTGGAGTTTTATGACTGATCGCGGGTTCTCACCCCGCCCGTGGTATGGTTTGTCTGCAATCGTGTCATTACGATTTCGTGAGTCCTGTTACATATCACTTATACACCACCAGTCTAGAATACTTTTTAATAAATGGGAATTAAGGTACTCGGTGTCTAAATATATATATTGTCTCACTTTCTTGAAACACTGCTTTTGTTCCTCCCACCTGTGTTCTTGACTTTCGAAAGATATATTTTTTTTAACGTTAATGTAAAAATTTTTAATTTTGCACCAAAAGAATCTTAGAAAACTTACCTAACCTTATTATAACAAGATTAATTTATTTTAGCCTAACCCAACTAAATATATTTTAAATACGTTTACAATAATTTAGTACTAAACAAACACAATCAAATGTATTTTTTTCGTTGGGTTCAGAATGATTTTGGCGAAATTATTGCTTACACAAATTTTCGCTTGTCCTATATGGCAAGATGAGCGTTGCTATTTAAGACAAGATCGCAAGTTCTGCCTATTCGGCACGACATATATATATATATATATATATATATATATATATATATATATATATATATATATATATATATATATATATATATATATATATATATATATAATATATATATATATATATATATGGTTTGGTGGTAAATTTAAAAATTTTTTTTTTTTTAGAACCACGAAAGTGAAGATGGGTGTTACTAGAATCTTGTGCTGTTGAGATATCGTGGCTATGACTCAGAATTTCCCAGATTTGGCTTGAACAGTGTTCCTTCACACAGTCAGTAACCCGTATCCTCGCCTTCAGGATACATTGTCAGGGTTCTACATTTGCCTGCTAGACAACAGACTTAAGTTTCCATTCCAGATAAAAAAAAATGTTCTAGGATAACATGCTTGCTTATACTGTAGCCGCTTTTATGTTCGATATTTTCTAAACCTTAACTGTGTTCATAGTACATACTGTCGCAGATACACTTCGTAAATGTATTTTACGTATAAGTGTCTAGTGGGCACTTTGAGAAAGTGTTGGTCTGGGGAACAGAACAGTTTTATGATTGTACATTCTTGGCCAGCAGGTGTGAAGTGTCTGAATGGTACTTTGAGCGTACCATTACAGATAGTGATCACACTCCATAAATATTTTCTCACATTAATCTCTCTGGCTCTTGGTGTGCTATTAGACTGCACACAGTACAGTATAAGATCTTGCCCAGTTTTTCGCCCTAAGCTGCGTTTAACACAGACTGCAGTGGGTTTACCTTGTTTAACTTTATCTGGACGACATGTTAGCAGAACTCGTTTCTTGCAGGATAGTGATGCAACGATTTTCCAGTTGAATCTTCTTGATAAAAGTAATGCTGTTATTGTTATTCTGTACGACAGGAATGTCAGTATATTTTGTGCAAGTGAGCTGGGGACAAAAAATGGCTTGCAACTGATGTTTAGCTAATTTTAGCACAAGTTGTATATAAAGCAGACTTATCTGGTGTCAGTGAGAAAGCCGGCGAGGTAGTTATATCTAGTAGTTTTGTGAGTACAGTGAAGCAGTGACAGGCGCAAGTGAATAGGTAATGAATCACGTTAAAGTAAATATGAGAGAGATGCAAAGAGCCAGTGACGACTAGGCAGGCTAAGCCAGTGATAAGATTTATGTTCTTTTGCTGAGAAGTTGACGTAATTTACATTACCTCAGCAAAGAGCCTTTTAGGGAGCAAACCCAGACTGGTTTTACTGCTGTAATTTACAAATCTTCCCTTCTTCCTCATACATATTTGTTCTATATGCAGTCCACAGTCCTTGTATCATATCTGCTGATCCAAACCATTTCATTTGGCATAAGGTCCACTCATTATGTAGACTGTGTACAGAGCGGTATATGTCTAAATTATTTGAATGATTATACCGAGGTCTCATTATTTTGATAGTTATACCTCTGTATTACCTACATAGCCTGATCCAATAGGATTATGGCAGTTCTCTTTATAGGCTAAATTATGACAGGTGTTCAGAAAAGGGACCTCGATATGCCACGCGGCTAGTATTAAACTGCAAAATTAGGGATTCAACAGGTAAATGAATTATTATTATTATTATTATTATTATTATTATTAGTATTATTATAATAAAAAAGAAGCGCTAAACCACAAGGGCTACAAGTAAATGAAAAAAAAAAGCAAAGGTCAACTAAGTCATATGTTTTGGACGCCTATCTGCTTGTATTATTCATCTATCTTTGTAACGGTCCACAAGTTTACTTTTTTAAACACAGGACAAATATTTTTAATACGTTTAATGTTTTATAACAAAATAATTTTTTCTTAACACATCGGTTGTTTCCCACCAAGGCAGGGTGGCCACCAAGGCAGGGTGGCCACCAAGGCAGGGTGGCCACCAAGGCAGGGTGGCCACCAAGGCAGGGTGGCCACCAAGGCAGGGTGGCCACCAAGGCAGGGTGGCCACCAAGGCAGGGTGGCCACCAAGGCAGGGTGGCCACCAAGGCAGGGTGGCCACCAAGGCAGGGTGGCCACCAAGGCAGGGTGGCCACCAAGGCAGGGTGGCCACCAAGGCAGGGTGGCCACCAAGGCAGGGTGGCCACCAAGGCAGGGTGGCCACCAAGGCAGGGTGACTACCAAGGCAGGGTGGCCACCAAGGCAGGGTGACCACCAAGGCAGGGCGGCCACCAAGGCAGGGTGACTACCAAGGCAGGGTGGCCACCAAGGCAGGGTGGCCCAAAAAAGAAAAACTTTAATCATCGTCCACTCATATCTGACCACTACTGCTGGTTATAATTGCTTACATAAACAGCACAAAGTATGACCTATATCATAGATAAACATATTACTTTTTTTGAAGACGTTTACTGTTTTAATGGTATTTTCCCTCTTGTACATGTTTTATAGTTAAACGAGAAATTATTACAGTCAGAAAAGACTTAGACGGTAGACTAAGTCGACTGCATAACATAACTAGGCTTTACTGCTTCCTGCCGTAGCTTCGTCCATTCTTTAATTGAAAATTTAGCAAATTTTTCCTCGCCAGGCTACATGTTCAGGTGTATATATGGCACATCGATGTATATACAAATGTGTATATCAGTGTATATATACTATGTACAATTTCCTTTAATACTTTAAACTATTTTGAATAAAATACATGTAATTACCCCAGTCAGGTTGATCGACTTTAAACTTAACCTTCATATATTATGAAAGATTGTTAACTGTCTTTGTGTACCATGTGTTGTGAAGGTTAACTTTGTTTACCATGTGTTGTGAAGGTTAACTCTGTTTACCATGTGTTGTGAAGGTTAACTCTTGTATGTGTTATCTCCGTAGCTGAGCTTGGAGACTACGACCCACGGCGTCACTCCCCTGGCTACGTTTCCGAGTTCCGGTTCATCACCACTCAGACGGTCGCCCTCGAGAACAAGATAGCCGAACTCCACAAGAAGCTTGTGTGAGTGATTATTTCAATCTGTAGTAAGAATGTAAGAGATGAATACTCTTTTGGGCAATCTTAATCCATTTTGATAGAAATGTGAGTAAAACTTGTGGCAAGGAAGATGTGTGAGGAGGTCGGAAATAGAGAAGGTAACTAAAGAAAAAAATTATAAATTTGTAATGAAGAAAATGTTTATTGTTAGTGTATTAATGAATTGCAAGTACTTTGTGTAGGCTTTAATAAGAGTCAGAAAGATTGGAGAGAGAGAGAGGTTGTTGGGGTATGGTAGATATTGTAAGGGAAAGGGGAGAGGTTAATGGGAGTAAACATACATATAAATACTCAATTGGACGTGAATGTGTATTGCGTAAGCGAGGCAAAGGAGGTAAAAATCTATGAAGCCTTGATGTAGAGGGAGGAAATAAGTCAGTACACCCACAATTTACATATTTACTAACCTTATAAACCCTAACGCAGGAACTGAATTGCGTAAATACTCCCAGGTAGCCTATTCTGCGTGGTTTTCAATAACTGGGTGAATGGGTGGTCCTGATGGCTTCTCGCACGAAAGGATACACCTTAAATAAAGCTCACCCCCCCCCCCATCCCAGCCAGTAATAATTAATCGGGTTATGGTGAGCATGAAGGGAGAAGATTTTCAGGTGTTTATCTAGCTAGTGAAGAAAGTAGCGGCACATAAGAGGAGCCATGTCTGACCAATAGTTAACTGTGTGCATGAATGGGAACTCGCAATATGCATTAACGAAATAGACTAGGGATTAAATAGCCATATCAGTAAGTTTGTCGATGACATTAAAATAGGCCGTCAGATAATTTCTGATTATACTAGACAGCTACAAGATGACCTGGGCAGGTTGTAGTCAGAGAAGTGGCAGATACAGTTCGGTGCAGACAAATGTCAAGTTTTAATATTAGGAAAGAATAACTATGATACTTGTAAACTAAATAATATAGAGCTTTTCTGGTTTAAAAGTTCATCAGGCGGTTTGATTTAATGCTACCAAAGTATGCTGGTTGCTGGACAGGCAGAGCACTTCGGATTAGATACTTGAGTGGAAATGATCAGATGAAAAGAATAAATTATTTAAGACTAGCTCAGAAAGTAATATGTGCAAGGTGATAGGTATTTAAAACGTGTTACTAATTTCTAATTACACAAGGCTTAAAAAAACAAAAAATATGCAGAAATTCTGTATATTTTTTGCATCTTTATAGTCTAGAATTTCCATACTGTTTCAATTTAATCATGGTATTTGCTCATAAACTATGTACTGTATACTAAATTGAATATTTGCCCTGATGTGAAATTTATTTAGCATTTCCCTTAACGCGTTATCAATCTGTATACCTATTATCTACTTCACTATCCAGCAGAATAGTAAGTGTGGTCTATTCATTATATAATTCATGATGTTACATTGGCTGTATCAGACCATTAATATTTCTTGTTCTTGTAACAGAGGTCAGGTGCCATCCAAGGCGGAAATGTGCTACCTGGAGAAAGTCAAGTGGCTCGACATGTACGGCGTCGACCTGCATCCTGTCCTGGTAGGTGAACCCATGATAGTGACCTTCAGATTCGAGCGCGGTTAAATAGCTCCTGTCGTGCACTTAGTGGGCGAAGGATCAAGCTTCCACAAGTTCTTGAGCAGAATGACTCACACTAGCAAACCTTGTGGCTAAGCGCTTCTTTTTTATTATAATTATAATCACACTAGCAAAGCATTTCACATAAATAATAATAAGTGATCATCCTGTAATATTAGGTGCTTGTTTTACAAGATTTCATTTGGGCAACGTTTCAATTTGATAAAGACTTTAGATCAAAATGTCCTGATAAAAGCTGTTGGCGTGTAACCTTGCTTACCAGCGTCGTTGGCGTGTAACCTTGCTTACCAGCGTCGTTGGCGTGTAACCTTGCTTACCAGCGTCGTTGGCGTGTAACCTTGCTTACCAGCGTCGTTGGCATGTGACCTTTCTTACCAGCGTCGTTGGCGTGTAACCTTGCTTACCAGCGTCGTTGGCGTGTGACCTTGTTAGTGTGTCGTTGCCTTGCTGGAGCTGTTGTCATGTGGCATTGCTTGCTGGCGTGGTTATCGTGTGGCTTTGTTCGCGTGGGACTTATCTTGGCACTAAAAGGACCAGCAGTAAATGTTTAGTAAAACTGGACCCTGAAGTCGTGCTTACTGGCTTACACGTATCAAACTTTATATAGTATACAAGAAATGAATAAACTGAGTCCCAGCGTGGAACACCTGTGGAGAAGAACCCAGATTCTTTAAGCACATTTTAAAAGATGCAATATTTTTTCTTTAGACTTTAATTATTTAAAACTTTACGAATGGATCTTCAGCTGAAAAAAAAATAAAAAAATGCAGCTGTATTGCTGTCTCAAGTGGCTCATTGACTTTATTTGAAGAATGACTTCAGTGTGTACTGAGGTGGTGGTAGAGGACAGCCTTGAGTTATGTATGTTTTTATTAAGTTGATAATTTGCCTAAAAAGATTCTTAAAAGCTGTATTGTAATACAGATGTTTTAAAATTAAATAGAGTTTAGTCAAAGATTGGGTTGAATATAGTACGGGACAAAAAAAAATTATAGTTTTTGCTAAACTATTGTTTCTATGGAGGGAGAAATCATTAGGTTAGAACTGAGATCATTTCTAGAACTAGGAGAGTTTTCGTGGGTCAGTAACCACTTCCTTTATTGCGCATTATGTTCATGCACTCGCACTTTGTATATTATTCGCTGCTCTACGAAGCCAATGCGTTCTGCTTATGCTTAAGTTTGCTGAAATTTCAAGCTTGACAAACTTGCAGACTACAGTGTTTTTGGAGATGCCGCAAACTGTCTGAGCAAGATCAACGAGGAGAAGAGCGACAAGTAGCAATTATTGCCGATATCTCGACTTGCGGTCCGTATATACGCAAAATATCTAATCAAGTAGGATTTTGGGCGTGCGTTCAACAAGTGTCCTGGATGGCAAGGCTGCCTACACTTTATTTAGTGTCTCAGCATAATTTAGAAAGATCAAGGCTGTCTACACGTCTAAGCTGATTTTTCTGTCTTGAATCCTTGGAATTTATTGTAGTAATGACGTGCATGTTTGGTATCATTGTTGAGGAATCAGCTTTAATTGACCCGTATTTCATGAAATTCTAAGTTTGTAATTGATCCCAGGTTGTGTTGGAGGTAATATTATCTGCTAATTGCCTTGAGGTTGTTACTTATTCTCGTAAATGCACAGAAAAATCTTTTATTCTTGCAGTCTTCAATTACTATACATATCTTCAATGCTGTGTGGTTCTTAGAACTATGGTAAATATTCACAGTTAAATGCCCTAGCTTAATAGAATTGCTCAGGCCAAAGACTTCCAGTATTTCAATCTTGTCATTCAATGCATAATATGATAGATAACGAAAGTGAGATTTTCAACACTAGGGTCTAACTGCCTGTCATGAGTCTTCCGAGGAGCTAATTTTATCATATTTATTCTCTAATACTGTCCCTGCATGGTATCTATTAACATATATACCATATAGGGAAGCCTATGTACAGTATACTCAGCTTTGAACTGGTTTTAATTCAAAGGCAGCTGGATGGGGTGACGCAGCGGATATTTTTTTTTTATGATGCGGTACCGGTTCGAGTTTCAAGGTCGCTTCTGACCTTTTAACAAATTAGCCCAGCTGAGTTGCATAGGCCGAGGTTGAATATCTTGTACCTTTCATTTCTAACCTTAGTTCCATCGTTGCTGTCTGGTAGGTAATGGGTAATTACATTTTACAAATGTTTACCAGTTTCTCATTGTGGCCGAATCATTGCATGCGTTAGGTTACGTCAGATGAGACAGCCACCATACACACGTAAGGTAATAGACATTAGTTAATAATTACATGAATTATATCTAGACCACAACTACAAGTGTATGTGCACGCACGCATATTTATAAATAGAAATCACAATAAAACATAGAACACGTGAATGTGCTCAGGTTTTCCTGTTATATATATATATATATATATATATATATATATATATATATATATATATATATATATATATATATATATATATATATATATATATAAATTAAATGTATAAGAGAAAATTTTAAAAAGGACTTAATTTTAAATGAATTCTTGCTAACTGACCAGTTTTACCTATTCGGCACGACAAATATATATATATACCCCGGAACTCTCTCCAGGTAAACTCCAGGTAATAAATATATAATATATATATATATATATATATATATATATATATATATATATATATATATATATATATATATATATATATATATATATATATATATATATATAATATATAATATTTATATATATATATATTGTGTGTCGTGCCGAATAGGCAGAACTTGCGATCTTGGCTTAAATAGCAACGTTCATCTTGCTACATAAAACAAGCGAAAATTTGTGTATGCAATAATTTCGCCAAAATCATTCTGAACCTAACGAAAGAAATACATTTCGCTGTATTTGTTTAGTATTAAATTATTGTAAACAAATCTAAAATATATTTAGTTGGGTTAGGCTAAAATAAATTGTTCTTGTTATAATAAGGTTAGGTAAGTTTTCTAAGATTCTTTTGGTGCAAAATTAAAAATTTTTACATTAACATTAATGAAAAAATATATATTTAAACGTATAAGAGAATTTTAGAAAGGACTTAATTTTAAAGGAGTTCTTGCTAATTGACCAGTTTTACATATTCGGCACGACATAATATATATATATATATATATATATATATATATATATATATATATATATATATTATATATATATATATATATATATATATATATATATATATATATATATATTATATATATATATATATTATA